TGCTAATGTTACTGTCATTATTAATAATATGTTTGTCAAGGGTCAAAGGTCATGGGATTGTTCAAATCAAAAGGTTCACCCTCTTGGGAGCATACAGTGCTCTGTATATTTCATGAAAATCAGCCCGCCATGCATACTCTCCCAGAGTAACCGTTTTCAGCAGTTAGTATGCTTATCTTCCAAATACTTCAACTATGGCTGAAAACAAAGCTCCCAGCAGAGCTCTAAGCACAATACAGAAGGAGTGTATTTTTACTAGTAAGGCTAGGAAGAGCAAAACCATCAACTCTGACGTTCATTTCAACACTGTCATATTGTGGAGTATAATGATGACAACAGCCTGTGAGAATTTAAAGCCAGTCAGCAAAAAATATATCAAAAAATATATTTCATTAATACATTTCATAATAGCCTTGTCTGTTTAACGTTGTGAAACAATGGGTTAGGTATATGCAACAAAACTACCTGGTTATGGTTAGCAAGAAGATCAGCGAAGTAGCATAGCAAAGTAACGTAACAATCGTAGATAAATAACAAAAGTCCTGAGCAGACTTTGTTACGTAACGTCTTGTAACAACCGTAAAGTCAACATTTACTTTTGTTTTCACACGAGACACGAACAGCGGCCTCCTGGGTGAAAGTCTTGTTTTTTGAAAATTTAATTAAAACTAGATATAATACATAACAGATTGACATTGCACGGTTATTTTCTTTTCCAGATCATAAAGCATTTGAGTGTTCTGTATTCCCATGTGTCAGCCATGTGTTGTTGAGTTATTCTGTACCAGAGCTATTTGCATCATTATGAAAACCATGCAGCTGACCAACACATTGCCTGCGAAGGGTTCCCTTTTGCTTATCTTACCAACCACAGTGTTGGAGTGATTACAGCTAATGATTGCACAACTTAAATGTGTGTTTAAAAGAAGAACATGAACCCATAAAAACTGTTGAACTGGTTTGAAAATAGTGACAAATCTCTACTGAAGCTCACATTTAGTAGTTCAGTTCACTTCCCTTCAGCAGTTTTGATATTTAAATTAAAACGGCTCATTTAAATTTGATACTTTTTTGTCAGTGTAGAGAACTTTTTTAAAGAGCAACACTTCATTTTATGGATACATAATTTCAAATGTATGTTGAGTCTGTTAGGGCAGGTACATATGGTAGTGACATTTTTATCAGCAGCCACAGTTCGTGAAATGTCAAACAACATCTTCACATTCAAACCAAACTCGTACTTCACAGCCACTGATATCTGAAATGCAGTGGCGGGCCGTGCATTTTATATCTGGGCCTTCAGTGCTGTCCTACTATTGGTAGAAGATTGGTTGATGACAATCAACAATATCGTCCTCATTTACTTTAATCTGCAAAGTCTACCTGAGGACCTCGGGCCTCTGTTCTTACCTAGAGACACAGAGGTGAAATCTGATTGGATAAAAGCTCTCCTTTAAACAAGCTGCACTGGAAGCAGAGCAACTGAGGAAGGCAGTAGCTGTGCAATGAGAAAATAAGCTAATGGGAAAGATTATTAGAATACATGTAGTGTGTTTGTGAAAAATTATTAAATTATAAAATAGCTATAATTTTGTGATTCTGTTTAGGCCAGCAGAGAAGGCTTTGCTAGCCCTGGCGGCCCACCACTGTTGAAATGATGTGCCTGTAGTTTAAATGTAAAGGAGGGTGTTGGACAGCAGGGAGAAAGAGCTGCTGAATAGAGGAGGGGAGTCCCACTCAGAGAGGAGGAGGAGTGCAGCTGTCCAAACACTGAGCCCCTCTGTACCTGCCTTTAAGTTACCTCCTCCCTCCTCCCATCCCTCTACCCTGTCCTCCTTTAAACCTGTTCCCAGATCACACAACCACCACTTACACCAGTGAACCACACTATTATTATTTCCAAACTTACCTAAAGTAAAGAGCATCAGATTTGATCAATTAAAGTGTTTTCCTTTTTTAATAGCAGCCACTGCCAAAATATATTTAGATTTATTGATAAGACATTTGATGGTCTTTCATTTTTAAACTTTAACAGATAGCTATTGCTAACAGCGCAACATGCTAAACACATGTAAATATGGATGTTTTAATGTGTGCCTATTACACATCCAAAAGACAAAGAGTGGGGCTGGGGCAATTCACCGACATAATCAACGTCATCAACTACTAAAATATATTCATTTGAATAATATGAAATACTGATCAGATAAGGTTTTGATATTTATTTTTTGTTAAATGAATTGTTATATTAATTGGGAGTTTAAAAAATAATCTTTAGAATAATCAATATATTAATCGTTTGAGTGGTGTTTGTTTCCAACTGATGAATGTGACTAATGTTCACTCTCTTTTAGCTCTGTTTTTTGTCTCCACCAACTCATGAGAGAAATATCTGTCTCAAAGTGAGTCACTCTAAAGCTTCATAGAGCAGAGGGGAACTGCAGTTATTAGATAACTCTCTGTGGGTTCGACGCAATGAGGAACAGCTCTCACTAAACCTCTGTGATTTGATATATTGTTAATATAAAACTGTTAATTGGTGAAGCTTTAAGTACAGCTATGTCTGCCACTGTAAAACAAACTTGATAAGGACAAAATAGGAATACGCTAAAAAACAATCTAATAATATATACATGAATGATACTTTCAAATAACAGAAGCCAGCATCCCAACCCAGTCTAAACAAAACCATACAAACCTTTGTGAGGCTTTAGTTGCCATATTGTAGCAAAATAAATTAAATACTGTTGACAGTGAGTGTTTTGTACAATATACATTCATTACAAATAATTTATATTTGCAATAACAGTTAACAGTTTAAAGATCCATTAGTGAACATTTAGTCTTTATATAATTTACATACGCTAATTACTTAAAAACTTAATCTTTAGAAGAAAGTGGTTGGTTGGTTGGTTGGTCTGTCAGCTCGGTCTAGGGAAAATATGACTACTGGCCACATTGCCATTAACCTTGAGGGAATAAATTAATTTTCAAGAAGAAGATGAATCTGAAATGTTTTGTAACCTGATGCTTTGCCTAGTGCCATAAATGTTCCTTTGGTCAACTACATATTTATTCATACAGATCTGGCTTTTAGTCGGTTTGTTACAGTCAGAACAATTTACCAACATCCAGTCCAGGGCAAGGAGGTACGGAAAAGAAAGGATCTCTTCCCTTCATAGAGTGTCCCTCCACCTCAACACACACACACACACACACACACACACACACACACACCCCTCATCGTTAACTCTTCCAAAAAACCCCCCCCCCCCCCCTTTCTTATTCGTCTTTTGTTCCCTGGCTATCTTTTCTCTCTCCTTGGCTTCTCCACTCTCTCTTCCCGCTCTCTCTGGAAAGTTTCTCACTTTCTCTCTGACCTGTCAGGATGAACAATGTGTCTATAGAGAGGATAAGGACCTCTCCTTCCGGAGTCCCCCATGGGACATTATTTCAGAAATAATGTCTAAGGTAGACAACCATGAGCGCCAAATCATTTCTTGATCATAATAAATGAATCCTTTGCTTGCTAGCCAGCTCGGTGACTTGGCTCTGTTCCAGCATAGTAGCTCAGAGCATATCTGTTGCCCCCACAGAGCTCTCAACATGGCAACTGCTGAGCTGTCGTCTCACAGCTACAGTGCTAACAGAGCTAACAGTGAAAACAACAGCAACGTTACTTAGCCAACAGTGTTAACTTTAGTGGTAACCAGAGGGTGAGACTACACTTCCGCAATGAGCGCATGAGCTCAGTGCAGAGCAGCAGCCTTGAGGTAGTGGGACACGTGCACTAATATGCATGTGCTTGAAACAGCTGGCTTCAGATTTTTCTGCCAATTCATTTTTCTCACTTGTTGTGTTTTTTCCCGCTCAGTTCTTATCTCAGGACAAGCATACCTGGAAATTCTTAACCAAGAGTCACGGTTTTCAATGAGTTTCTCAAATAAACTGAGTAAAACAACAGATTACAATGTGTGATAAATGTTAGTTTAACTGTGTGGTGAAAGATGATATTACACTACTAATCATGGAAGTGAAGTCAGATGAAGTTAGCAACTTGATTAGTAACTTCATGCCACTGTGACTGATCAGGACTCTGGGGAAGAAAAAGTAAAGGGAAGCAACTGTGGCCTCACACCAATGAAACCAGAGAAAGTTAGCAACCCTTTTCAGACTTCTCTGTTCGTTCATTCTATGCATACATAATAAACCAGTCCTCTCAGCCTCTCTGTCCGACTATAACCAGTCCTCTCAGCCCCTCTATCCAACTATAACCAGTCCTCTCAGCCTCTCTGTCCCACTATAACCAGTCCTCTCAGCCTCTCTGTTCTACTATAACCAGTCCTCTCAGCCCCTCTATCCAACTATAACCAGTCCTCTCAGCCCCTCTGTCCCACTATAACTTGTACACTCAGTCTCTCTGTCCCACTATAACTAGTCCACTCAGCCTCTCTGTCCCACTATAACCAGTCCTCTTAGCCTATCTGTCCCACTATAACCAGTCCTCTCAGCCCCTCTGTCCCACTATAACTTGTCCACTCAGTCTCTCTGTCCCACTATAACCAGTCCTTTAAGCATTAAATGAGTCATTAACTAAGGTATATGTAATCTTTTTTTAAATTATGTCAAGGTGCAATAATGCCAACTATAACTACGACCCCACCCCCAATCTCACACAGGTCATCAGGACTTTTTCATGTGAATTTAGTTTGGACAGTAAATGTAACTAGCTACTTCCTCCCCTGCACCCTAGTATATAAATGATGCGATTAGTGACAGTGGGCCTCAAGTCCAGTGCAAATTATATAATGTGGTTATTGAACACACAC